TTTGTAGGGATGGGGGGTCAATGGTTTAAGGATTGGGGCATGCACGATTATGAGTCCCCCCCCCCCCCCCCTGCTTGACTATCGCAATCACCCACACGGGCGAAGGTGCCCAAGGGCCAGTGGTATTGTCCGGACTGCCGGGAGAAGAAGCGCGTGTTCGGCTGCAACGGGTGCATGCAGAACGACCGCCCGACCGAGATTCTGCAGTGCGACGGGCCCATGTGCGGGCTGGAGTATCACTACGGCTGCCTCGACCCTCCTCTCGACAAGGTGAAGGAAGCGGGCAGACAAATGTAGCTAGCACAAGCGACAACGGAGTTATGAAAACACCATCGAACACCAAAATTGAAGCCGTCGGGTGGTGGTGGGGGGGAGAGACGTAGCAGTGGGAGGAATCAAAGCAGGCAACTCTTGCATCCCCACGTACCTTCCCAAAGAGAACTCTTGGGGAAGGTGCGTGGGGATACAAGCAACGACAGGAGTTTGGACATGAAAGAGAGACACGTTGGAATGGGCGGATAATAGCACCTCAGGGAGGTGACGCAGCAGCAGAGTTTTCGGTTGACGCGAAGGTTAACGAGATACTCCGTTGTATGCATACCGTAAATGACGCAAGATAACACACCCCCTGGACCGATTTTCAAATCTCGATTTCTCGACAGCAGAAAGAGTCACAGCGCCGAAATCGGTGGCGTTGAAGCTGTCTCGTCGAGAGCTTTCCGAAAATGTATTGTATTGTTTCATTTATGCATCCTCTTCGTCGTGGCGTAATTGAGCGTTGGAAATTGGTCCAGGGGGTATCTTATCTTGTGTTATATACGGTAGTTCGGAGCCAATACCGGGACAAGTGTGGGCAACGTCTCGTCTCGAGGTGGTTGACACAAATCTCTCTCTCTCTCTCCTTGTGTTTGTGTCTCTCACTCTCGCTATCTTCGACGGATGTACTTCTACCGTTACATTTTGTTTCGGTGCGACATGTGTCGGGAGCATGATGGTCGCTGTTAGGACATAACATGTGCCTATGGAGCTAGGAAGTTCGATGCTTCGAAGTACAGTGCAACACAAGCATTTACTGCACGTGCACGCATGCCTGCGTGGTTTGTTTCAGGTTCCCTCGAGTAAGTGGTGGTACTGCCCCGACTGCGTGAGGACAGACAACCGGGTGGGGTGCCGGGTGTGCAAGGTCGACGTGGACTACGACAAGCTCCTCAAGTGCGATGGTCCAGGTTGCGAGCTCGAGTGGCACACGTGAGTGGCGGCGGCGGCGGGGTCGTGCGCGATGGTGCCGTTGTAGTTGTGGTAATACGTCATTGGTCGTGGCGGTCTTGTTGATGTTGGTTAGTGCTTTGGTGGTGGTCGAGAGGATAGCGGATGGTTGCGTTGGCGGTAGTGCTGCCGCGGTGGAATTTTTGGTTTTTGGAGGGTGTGGTGTGGTAAATTGACCGACGACCACAACCTTGGTACAGGCGAATGCTGGTTGTTGCGTTGATGAGGGTGGTGGTAGGTCGGCGACGATGACTCTTGAGTGGTGGCAGTGGTGGTGGTAGTGGTGGGGACCGCCTTGGCGAGGAGTTTTGTTTTACATGTATGAAATATAGAGGGGTGTTTCGTTACCCTAACCGTAACCCTTTCATCAACCCACACTCGTTAACCCTTACGAAAACCAAGCTTAATATCATCGCGAAGGCTAGCGGGTGGTGATGGTGGTGGTGGTGGTGGGGGTGGTGATACTCACGATGATTCGATCGGCGTGTGTGCCGCTGTGGCGGTGTTCTTCCGGCACAGGTACTGCCTCAAGCCGCCCGTGAAGACGGTGCCGAAGGGGGACTTCTTCTGCCCGTATTGCAAGGCCAAGCAGAAGGTCGAGTTCGAGAAGGTGCGGGTTTTACAGCAGTATATAATCAAAAGGATTAACAGACGAGTTTTGCAGGAGAGTAAGGTGGGGCTGCACTGCCGAGGCAGTTTTTTTTTTTCTGTTTTAGTCCGTACTCTTTTAAGAGTGTCTCATCTCCATACTCCTTACACGTACCATTCATGTCATTTTGTCATTTTTTTTTCTGTAGGTGGCTTTGTTATTTCGTTTTTTTCCCTTCATCCCCTCCTCCCCGCCCCCGTCACCGCAACTGCTGTTGAGCAGAAGCGCCAGCAGGACATCGCCCGCGCCAACGAGAAGCGGCGGCGGCGAGAGGCGAGGAAGGCCAGGGCCACCGCTTATTCGGACGACGATGACCAGCCGGCCTACGGGTGGCGTGGGGTGCGTGTTTTTGTTGTTGTTGTTGTTGTTGTTGTTGGTGGTGGTGGTGGTGTGTGGTGGTGTATGGTTGTTAGTATCGCTGCTGTTGTTGCTGCTGTTGTCGCTGCTACTGTTGTTACTGTCATTGCCGCTGCTGTCGTTGCTGCTTGGCCTGCTGCCGCGGCTGTGTTTGTTTGGTAATCCCTGCGGTGTTGATCCTTGTTCGGAAACAAACATTTCCATGTATGTGATAACCGCGAGACACGAGCGCACCCTCAACGTTTCGATGACTGCAACTCGATCGACTCTACTCTCTGTCTGTCTGTCTGCCCGTCTATCTGTCCATCTGTCCGCAGGTGGCCGGGCTGCGAGGCGCCCTTCTCGCGCAGTACGAAGACCTCGAGCCGGACAGCCTCCGGCTCGAGCTGCATAGGATCAACACCCTTCTCAGGAACATCGAGGAAGCCAGAGAGGCTTCCGACGCCCTCGCCGCCGCCGCCGCCGCCGCAGCAGCAGCAGCAGCAGCAGCAGCAGCCGCTCCTCCAGCCCCCTCCACCACCGGTTCTGCCGTCGCCGAAGACGCCGCGGAGCCGGAGCCCGCAGATAGCCCCGGCGGCGACGGCACCAAGCCAAACGCCGGGTCGCCTCCCGTGGAAAAAAACGGGAGCGGTGCCGACGGGGCGGGCGACCGGCCGGGGTCTCCTGTCGTCGGAGAAACGGCTGAGATCAGGGGGGGGGCGGCGGCGGCGGCGGGCGGCGGAGTCCCCAGCGAGAAGACATCATCGCCAGGGGCAGGGGGTCCCGCGGCAGAGAACAAGGTCGATGATGCCACCGCCGCTATCGGTGCCGGTGCCGGTGCCGCCGCTAGCGGCGGTGGTGACAACGGCCACGCCGCCGCAGAGAGCGGTGACGGTGAAGGCGCTGGTGACGGCCAAGGCGCCGCCGACAGCGCCGCCGGTAGCAGCGGTGGCGACAATGGCGATTCCGCCGCCGCAGATAGCGGAGACGGTCAAGCCGCCGCCGGCGGCGACGCTAGCGGCGGCGTTCCGGAAGAGACGGACCCGGTGGCGGCGTTCTGGGCGGCGCTGGCGGCCGCCGCACCGGCGGAGCCGGCCCCGATGGACGACGGGAGTGGCGATGGAGGAGGCGGAGCGGGGGCCGACGAGGAGGAACAAGAGGAGGAGAAGGAGGTGGACGGGGCGTGGGGAGGGGCGGGGGATAGCCCGCTGGCGAACGGCAAGAGTTACGGGTCGTTGTCCGTGCCGCTGCGCGCCGGCATCCTGAGCGCGCTCTGCGAGGACTACATGGAGGACGACGGCTTCCGAGTGCGCATCATCGTGAGTCTGGCCGGCTGTTGTTGACTGTGGTGGTGGTGGTGGTGGTGGTGGTGGTGTGGTCATGCCGAGGTTACTGCGTTGTCGTGTGTTGTTGTTGTCATCGTTGTAGTTGTTTTTGTCATTGTTGTTGTCGTCGTGGTAGGTTATTCTTGTCCTCGTCGTCCTCGTCGCTAATGCTGCCGTTGCACATGACATGGCCCGTCGACATACATCTAGCCCGAGGGGTTCAGCACGAGCTATTAATAAACTCCACTTCAATAACACGCTTTCAGAAATGGAAGACGTGCCACTTGGCGCGTTTTCTCGAGCATGGCCCGCGGCGTGAGACCCCCTGTTGCCTTCGCCGCCTGCCCCACCCACGTGTCACCAGGACGAGGTGTACCCGGATTGGCTGAGAGCGACCCCGTTCGGTCACGACAGCTGCGGGAGGCTCTACTATCGTTTCATCCACTTCAGGAAGGAGATGAGGGTGTACAGGTGAGGGGTTGAACGCCGCAAGACAGAGTGTCGTTGTGGCCGCTCCACGCACCCGCGTGGGTACACAGTGGTTGGGTGCTCCCAAGGCAAGCAAGAAACGGGTACTGTACCCCCCCCCCCCTCAGGGGGCCCCATGAGCTTTGCAATTTGGTCTTCGTACCGTAATTTTTTGTTCTTGCGCTGTCGTTGTTCTTCTCGCCGACCTGCCCTGACCCCCCCCCCCGCAGAACGGTGGAGGGAGATAGCCCGATCCCCCCCGTGGACAAGGTCGCAACAGAGCTGACCGGTTGCGGAACCCTTGAGGCTGCAGCGGAGGCGGCCGCAGATCGCAAGCCCTCTAGACTGCGCGGCGGCTCCGAGGTAAGTTGCCGGCTGGAGGGTGGTGGTGTGCCGGCCTGGTTAGGCAACGAGGAACGTTGTGCATTGTGTGGCGAAACGCGTTGGAGAAGAAAGGTTGATCGCACCCTGGCGGTTGGATGCTCCTAGCAAAAGAAGGCTCTGTCGCACGCAATGTGTGGCGTTGAGTTGGAAACCTCCGGAAGTAAAAGGCCGTGCGTCATGGGTGATATTGTAGCTTCGAACCCGTCCTGTGTCGGACCAGAGTCGACAAAACGTTCGATCTCCCTACAAGGAGCAGCGGCATCCGTCGGTACCAGTTGGTGTGGCCGCTCGACTTCTTGCGCCGCGAACAGAAGGCGCTGACTTCTACCCCGACTTTTCCCTCGGTGTTTTCCAGCACTTGTGGTGCTCGTGCGACCGGTCCACGGTCCGATTTGGTGCTGTCTGGTTGGCACGAACTACTATCCATTTCACGTCCAATCTTTCCGTTGTTCCGTTATTTTGTCTTATTTTTTTATATCGGTTTTGTTTTTCCCTCGTCATTGATTATTTTCCGATGCGACGGACGGGGTTTGTAGCTGGAGCTGGTGGCGGACTCTCTTGAGGGGATGGAGCGCTTGCTGGCGGCCCTGGGAAAATCCAAGTCCAAGAGTAAACGGGACGACGCGGCTCTCCACACTAACCTCGCCCAGGTGATTATTAGTCGGAACACGTGCGGTGCCTATTGGCCTTGATGTCGGAATTTTGATTGTGTTGCTCGCTTTGAATCAGCGCACTCACGTTTTGTTGTTGTTGTTGTTGTTGTTGTTGTTGTCTTCACATTTAATCACATACGCAGCATTTATCAGGTAAATGTTTATCGGAACACATTTTAATTTTGCATCAGTTTAAGTCAGCTCTCACACACAGCATTTGGTTCTGCCGTAAGTAGGAGCTCTAGTCCGATTCCACACAGGAGCCCCCCTCCCCCCCCCCTGCTGAGGCCCCCTACCACCCTCCTCCTGCTGTGCTTGCCTTCCATTTTATCGCGAGAAGACTGCGGCACTCTCATGCGGTTCCGCAATGCCTTGATATTGGAATGCGCATTGGAACAGTACGACATTGTCGTCGTCGTTGTCGTAAGATGTCTCTCTCTCTCGTGTCTACCGTTGGGTTTGAATTTTTTTTTTTCCGCAGCTGTGTCTGTTGCTCCTCTTGCATCTTCGCTTGCCTAGCTGGTTCTCGGAACATGCTGAAAAATTGATTTCTAGCTGTTCCGCACAGAGGGCAGAGTCTGTACCCGCCCCCCTATTGATCGGCTTAGCAGGGGCGCTAAAGGCCTCGCTGAAGACTCGCTGCTCATCAACGTCGGGCCCTGCAGAACGGGGACAGAACGGGCGGCCGCGACCCCAGCTTGCCCCTTGGCCGAGTTGGTGCAGCTGCTCTCGATATGAGCCGCCCGACAAGCGCCCCGATTCTTGCCCCCCGGCCTGAGGAAAACCTGGTCCCCGCAT